TAAAGTAATTAATTAACTAATTATAGGGATATAAAATGGAAATTTAAAATTATAATTTTTTAAAAAAATCCGTTGAATGTGAAATGTAAATGTATGTGAGGGGGTGAATGTATGTGAGGAGAGGAAGAGGTGAAAAAATGAAAAAGGTATCTTGGTCATTTAGAATTTTAAGACTTTAAGAATTTTGATGAATTTGTTTAATAAGATAGTATAGATATGGACAATATTGTTTGGTGGTAAAAAATACCCAACCTGCTAACTGAATCCAATCAAATTTAGAATTAGCAAATTGGGTTGAGATTTTCGATCCATTTAAATAAATGGGTTGAGTTGGGTTGAAATTTTTAACATGTTTTCAACCCTTTTAAAATATTATATAATTTTATTTTGTTCTTAATATTATATCTAGTATTCTAATTTTTTATTTTGTTTTATTCTTAATTAAAAATCTTACAGTCGTGAGATTAAAGTCCAAATTCTAATCGCCTCCATTACTCTTAATCATCATGAAACCCTAATAAAATCTTTTAGTCCATTACCTTTATTATCGTCTTCAAAGTCCAATCCGACTCTTCAAGTCTGTGGTACACCTCTTGCCTTATACAATATAAAACCATGTATTTGTTATAACTAGGTTAATAATTTAATTTATTTATGTAACACAAATGGAATCGCATCTTAAGACGCTATGTAGAGCAATCGTGACAAAGGAGATAGATGATAAAGAGGAAAGTAATACTGAGAGTGAACTTGGGGTTAGTGGAAGTGGAAGTGGAAGTTGAGTTACTTAATATTTAAAAAAAACTCAATTTATTTTGAACAATATTTTTGTTTTGTTGTTATGTTTTATTCAAACTTTGAATTATTTGTTTGTATTTGTGGTGTATTGTGTTTTATTCAAAAAAAATTAAATGGTATAATCCGTTTTTTATTTAAAATTTTAAAATTAAATGGGTCAACGTAGGTTCAACTCATTTATTTAACATGTTCGGTTAAGAAAATTGTAAACAGTTCAACTCGCTGTCAACCCATTTAGATAACAGGTTGGATTTGGTTGAAAAATCTCAACCCATTTAATATGGGTTGGATTGAGTTGAGATTTTTAATTTGTTTAATAAATGAGTTGAACCCGAACCCGAACCCAACTTGACCCAATGCCACCCCTAATTTACATCTTATTTTATGTCTGAATCAAATTAATTAATGCATTTAGAAAATAAAAAAAATGTTTTGATATTGATATATATATATATATATATATATATATGTATGAGGAAAAGGTTTATGGGTAATGGTACATTTAGCCCATTTCATAAAAAGTAGTCTTGATGTTGACGTATACGAGTAAAGAAATTAGTAGGTAATAATATATTTAACCTGCATTATATAAAAAGACAATAATACTTTTATTTTTAAATAAAATATAAATTTGAAGATATCATAAAATTTTGACAAAAATATATCGATATTAGTATCGAAATAACTATATAAAATTTATCATTTTTTTGTGTTATTTAGTCAACTTAACAGGTTTTGACAAACATCAATCACTCATAAAAGCAATCAATACATCATGGGTTATAATAAATTTGTCAACAAAACAATAACATATACAAACTTGTCAATGTAGTTGAATCTTTTAACACCTATCCTACTTGACTAGTTATCTAGCCATACCATTCTCGACCACTCCGGTATGGGGTCAAACTTTGGTCAATGCGATCTTCAGCTTGCGTCTGAGCCTGCTTATATCTACATGAGCTACGAAAGGTCGTTTAGTTGAACTAACATTGATTGATCAACGCATCTCCTTGTGCAGGCTTAATCTCACGTTTATCCTCACAAGCATCAGTGCGATTATAGGTGAGCTCTGACCTCACCCATGCAATTCATATACATGATCTTGAACTCATTGTGCTGTGAAAATTCGGTCTTTTTTTGCCTTCACGGTATTTTACTGTAAAATTTCAAATGTAAACAGATGGTCTCACAAGTTTTATAAAAACAGACTAGTCTTACTTGAACTCAACCCTAATAAAAAAAGTAAATTTATTATAAACTATATATCATGAGTAACAAGACACCTCCACTTCTCTAATTTATCGTCACCTTTTCTCGGTGCATTTCCAATGTGGAACCTTTTAACCTACCACTAAATTATACATGTGTTTCATAAATATGCAAGGTTATGTTTATTGTAAGAGTTGATGATATCCTAATTGTTACATCAATATATATATATATATATATATATAGATGAGTGATCATATGAAAACCGCTCTCATTTGTGTAAACCGTGTAAACCACCTTCATCTGTCGATTTCATTGTTTAATCTTATGAAAATTT